TAGGAAGTCTATCATCACAGCATCTTTCACTTCATACATGGTGGTGATGAATATACTGATAATATACTACTGTGGCCCAACCATCCGCCCATCCATCCGCCTTCACACCAGACTCATGCTCAACAATTTAGGTAGGTAAGGTAATCTTTATTTATATACCGCCTTTTCACTGCACATCGGAGTCTCAAAGCAGTTTACAATTGTTATTTTTGGGAGTGGGGGTGCCAGTACAGGAGGCACATGCCAGACCTATTGTACATATTTTTAGTGGTAGGGGAAACCGGAGCACCCGGAGGAAACCTACGCAAACACGGGGAGAACATGCAAACTCCACTCAGAAAGGCCCTGGTCCAACCGGGATTCGAACCCAGGACCTTCTTGCTGAGAGGCGAGCGTGCTATCCACTCAGCCACCGTGCCGAGTTTAGATGAGGTGTCTTACCTAAGGACACAACAACAGTTTTGGCACTTTGCTTCTGGAGTCCCCGCGATGTTAAAGGTCTCCCATCACAGCATTAATCAGGCCCTGCCCAGCTTCGCTTCAGGGGTCTAACAGAATCTGGCATTCACATCCAGGAGGCGCCCCACTGCTTCTCTGTATTGTTTACACTTGCTGTCATCCAATCTCTTTAATGAAGATTTTTTTAACAGTATGCATGACTTTGCCTTTTTACTCTTACAACTTGATTGCCCCTTGAGCCAAAACAATTTCCTCGTTCGTGACTTCTTGTTACTAAGAATAGCATAATCATAATAATAAAATTAATAATAATAATGATAATAATAATAATAAAAATAATAATAATAATACATTTGATTATTATTCAATTATTTACATTTACACATTAGTTAATTGATTTGTTCCCCCCAATGGACCTCTCTAGTGGTTTAAGTATCGCTTCATTTTACACTTCTACCATTACACGGATCACAGCTGGGGTCAGGCAGGTTTGATTCTCTCCTATAGCTGCCCTTTCTGCTCCCATCACCCGTCCGCCGTCTCTGCGTGACTTTGAATACCACCATTTTACGCATCTCTGGTTCCTGCTTTCGCTAATGCGCTCAATCCGGGGTAGAGGACATTGCTTTTTCTGGGCTGCTGGACTTTTTTTTTTATTTCCTCCTCTCTTTCTCGCTCGCTGCATGAAAATACTATTGATTAATGGTCAGCAGGCTCTTTTTCCACTCCAGATGATGTAAAGAGCCTGTCAGTTAGCATCACCTCCTTCACCAATGTGTTCCATCAATGGGGCAGGCAGAGCAGGCAGAGCTAGTGGCAGGTGGTGCGAGTTTCACCTGCCCGGGCAAAACGCACCGTAAGTGGGACAAGGCCCGGACAAAAAGTGACACATGGAGAAGGTGACAGCTTTTCACACCTGGGAATAATGGTTTTGATCGGCGTCCCGCTTTGTTCCCTCACCGCGCAAAAAACGACACCGGTCCAAAAAAATACACAATTAGCTCATATGGCGCCGAAGGAAGAAAGAAATAAAAGAAAAAATAGAAAAAACCAAAATGGAGGACCTACCTGGGGCCTTTCACAAGCCGGGGCATATCTAAACTGAAGATTTTTCAAACTGGAAGTGGTGCGGCAGGGGCTCGGTGGGCGCGCTTGTTTTGACACGTGGAGAAAACAATTATAGTGAACCTAAAGGAGAGCCTGTCCACACACGCTGTCCATCTGCGGGTGGCGAGTCAAAGGAGAGGGGGCGTTTAATTTCATCAGCGCGAATGATGGCAGAGGCAGAGGCAAGCTTGTTTGTATAGCGCAGTTCATACGCAAGGCAACTCAAAGCGGTCAACAAAACAGGATGTAACATACGAGGCGTTAAAAATAAGGCAAGGCAAAAAAAATGACAGGACACATTTTTTACAAGACTCCTCCGTTGGAACGAACTGCATTTATTTGTTAAAGGTATAATTGAAACTCATTTGTTTTCTATGTTTAAGGGAGCAGTATTTAAAAATCTGGCCAAAAGTGGTACTGAAACCTCTCCCGCATTCCCTGACTCAGTTTGCCAGATATGCAGACAAATCCAGCTGGGACCATAATATCTGAATAGACAAGAGTTTTGTCAACAACAAATCTATAACCAACACCTTTTTCACAAAGGGCCATTTAATGATGACTTGGGATGAAAATTGTCCCGGTCACAAATGAAGGGACCGAACAAGCCAAAACAAATCATTGTCCAACTCTCAGAGATGGACTGGCGTCACTGGATAATTTTCTGTTTTTTCCATTCCAATATTGGAAGTCCATTCCAATAAATACAATTTTTATATTAATTACATTTACAATAGATAACCCAATAAGCAGGCATTAATTCACAAATAATAATAATATTAATATATGCTATTCTTTTCAACATACAATATACATTATACCAACTGAGCAAGGTACTGTCTGTCATTTAGACAATAAACCAAATATAGAACAAGGCATTATCCACAATCTACCTTCACGAAATCCATCAACCTGAGATCACCTTTTAACTACCCAGACAGGCCGGCAAATTATAATACATTTTCTGACAAATTGCTGTGAAATATTGTATGCATTAGTGTGGTTTGAGAAGTGAGGGGAGACAGAATTATGTTTTGCCAACTGGGTTAATGATCACAGCTCTAGTATCTCCCTGTTGTCCATATAACAGACTGGAACAGAAGATCGCCGCTACATTATATACGCGGCTATGAATTTATATTTGTGTGATTTCCCGTCATGTCACCTCCTATTACGCATTCGACTGACTTCAAACGTAAATCGGTGCTAATATCACGTTGGATGTCCAATTTATTCCGTCACGGCCGCGCTTCTCCCTGGTGTTTTGTAAAGTAGAAGACGGTTTATCAGCAAATGCATGTGTCATTATCACTGGGAATACAAGCGGGAGTTATTTTCGCTTTCATCTGACCACGCCGATAACTTGGCCGTCCAGACGTAAGTGACAGAACAGAGGGAGAGATGTTGTTTTGATCATTGCGTGGCGCTGGTATATTATATCTATACGGGCTTGTCAAAGTTGCTCACTATCCTGAGCTTGTTAGGAGGTACTTAAATGCTATTTCTTTTTGCAGCTGCTAGTGTTGGCCCTGGAAATATGGAAGGAATCAATTAACTCAGGGATGTAATAAGGTGAAATATGGCAAAACTGCAGAGTAAAGCTGCATTCAAGCCCAAAGCAGCTCTGTTGACCTTAACTGTGAGGATTAGAGCAAATTAAGACACATGAGAGGGGATTAAATAATGAAATGTGCATGGGACTATAGGAGCTCATTATTTTTTGTGATACAGAGGTTGGTTCTTTTTCATGGGTTTTTAAATAGGACTGTTCCCCAATCAAAAATACAATATTTAGTTTGAAGTTCTCAATGGCAAGGGACCTATGCGATTACAAAATGATGAGACAATCATTTTTTTATCATTTTGAAATCCAGCAATTGCGTCAAAAGATGTCATAAGTGGGACAGAAACTGTTGTTCTTCACACATAATGTAGACTTTGAATCTGCTGTGTGTGTGAATGGTTGGTGGTGGTGGTGGTCAGACCCTTTTGTAGGATTACTTACATTTGACCCATCCTCCCAATGCCTGTCAGGAGCATTGTTGGCTACAGTCTGAAAACTATGGAAAAACTATCAATCTCGTTGATCCTATTGGTTGGCTTAAAATTTTGGTCAGAGATGTATCAATCAGTTGGATGGAGGGCAAACAAATTGAATTAATTAAAGTGATATTGGTTGGATTGACCAATTTGCATCAGTTGGCATTATACCACAATAGAGTCTTGGAAAACAATGTATGAATAATAATAAAAAAAAAGATCAGCCAGACAGATAATTACCAATGAGATTAAAACAACAACAAAACTGGTGACATTCAAACCATCTGGTTTTTTATGTACAATACATCACCCAATCTCCAGATGTCAATGGCTTGGTCAGGATGACCAGAGCTGGAGGATTTTGCCTATGATGCTTGTTTTGTCTGTGTTGAGAGGGTGGGGGTAACCCAGAGGAAACCCACACACCAACAAGAACAAACACACTCAGCAGAGAAAAATGCAGATCCAACGTCAAGAATGCACTCAGCAGCCATACAATAGTAGCTTAAATCAACCCATTACAAATAAGTTAAATTAAAAAACTGTCTGATTATAAGTTGCTTAAGCCAACTTCATGGAAAAAGAAAATTGAAATTCTTTCTGCTTTGTTGTGTGCTCTCTTTACAAAGTCTGAATTTTGAGGTCAAGGACAAATCACTGCGTCTTGTTTCATTCTTACAGCCTTTGACAATTCAATTTGGAGAGACGAGAAAACAGGAAGTTGAGTATTTTATTGAAAGGAGGTTTGGCGCCCTAGGTCCCGGTGCGGCCTTCGGATCGGAAAGGCTCCTGCGATGGAGCGCGCACAATCCCCCGGGACCTAGGCACTGGTGGCGGCATTTGGCAGCGGGAAGCAGATTGAAGGCAGATGGAGGCAGGGTGAAGAGGAGGAGGAGGGGAGGCGGTGGTTGCAAGGCTTCAGAGGTCGAGCAGTGAGAGTTTCTCCGTTTTTATGCGGCTGGGGTAGTCGGTACAGATGATTGGAAGGGGGCGTCTGCTGAGCGATAGGCTGGGGATGTGAGCCGGCCTGGAGGGGGTAATTTTGGTTAACGTCTACCAAATTGAATTTTCGCTGGCTGCATATCAGTTCTCATATCTTGTGCCGTCGCCAGCAGGTTTCCGCTCATTTTCTCCCAGTGCTTGTATAATATTGATTAACATTGAACGCGTCATAACGCTCTAATTCTGAGAAGGTTTTATTTTATTTTTTTCAACTGTAAGAAAGTTGTTTTGTCCAAGGCCATAATATCTCTGTATTTGGACAGCCTCTTGAGCCAGTGTGAATCCTCCTGGTCTCATATTGACCCTGGTGTCTGTATGTCCTCCAGTGTGGACTCTTTCTTTGGCTGTAATTACGCGGACAGCAGACCCCACCTCTGCACCTCACCGTGGGGTCACCGAGTCAGGGGTGAGACCGCTGCTATACCGAGGCTTAGCTGGGTCAAGCCATTTAAGTCAATACCGCTCACCTCGGCCTGACAGGCTAAAGTAACACCTTTTTTTTTCATCCACACGCCCAGCGGACACAGAGAGACGAAGCAGGCCCACTCCTCATCCTGGGTGCCTGCCGTCTCCTGTGGGTGTCCGTCGGGGGCCCCTGAAGAGAAGGCATTAGAATGAAAGAGCTGGCCTGGTTGACCTAGCCCCGGGCCGCGTGTGTCACAGCCCGAGCCGCGCGGCATTTGCACTTCAGAAAGGCAGGACAAATTGATAGATTCTGTGGAGGATGAGTGAAGACGTACAGTCAGAGCCACAGGGACAGTTGCGGAGATGGGGGATGGCTCTTAACCGCTGAAAGCCCTCAGTTTGTCTTTGTGTCAAGCTTTTTTGTAACCAATTTGGGTCTATTTTTGTTAATACGTGTGTCATAGGTAATTGTTCGGTTGGATAATAATTGTATAACAGGATTCATAAATGTACAGTAAAGGCACAGTGAGGAGATAAGGGCGTGTTCTTAATCCTGTGATTGTAAAAACAAAAAATGAGGGCAGACACCGCAAGGCACAGCAATTAGAGACAGTCACACAAGGCATTAAAATCATAAATAATCAGAATACATTAAAAATAGTGAAGATATAATCCCTCAGTTTTATGCACAGCTAACTATAACTTTTTTTAACCTGGATTTGAACATTGTCAGAGAGGAAGCCTGTCTCACATTTTCAGGAAGACTGTGGAATTACATGTACAAGTTCCTCTTAAACAATTCAGTATTTAAATATTGGTAAATTTGTTAGAAGAACATGTTATATGACGTTATTTATAGTCAATTATTGTTTGAAAATTATATTCTAGTTTGTGGTACACAAAATACTTTTCTTTTTTTTCCTTTCCAACCTTTAATTTTTCATTAAAAGGGAGAAAGAAAATGTTGAAAAACAGGAGAATGCCAGATAAATAAGATACTTACAATACTAAATACAAACAAATACATATATAAGAAATCAAAAGAAAAAAAACAAACTTGGGGACTGATATGTATGTTTACTTTGCTTTTAATCCATTCATAATTAGAAATGAATTTGATGGGACGGTAGTGACGAAAATTCTGATTTCTATACCATTTTCAGATTTTTTTATGAAGATGGATTGTATATGTGCCAATAGTCAATAAACAAAGGTCATACACACCTGTTCATATATTCATACCTTTTATCGGTCGTTACTGTCATTTAAAAGAGATATTTTTTTTTTCGAAAACAAGAGTTTGCCAGAATGGGATGGAGTGGTTAGCCGTAGCTGCAGACCCAGTATAAGACCACATTTCATTGCATTCACCCCATTACAATTTACTGTCATGGTGTGGATTTTTATTTTTGTAATTTGGTTTTATTTTGACATAAGTTTGGTTTTAGTTGTAGTTCCTGTCTTGTTCCCCTGTGTTGATTGTCTGCCCCGCCCTGATGTGTTTCACCTGTGTCTCTGTCTATATGTACCCAGTGCTGTTTTCCTCTTGTTGCTGGTTCATTGTATTGTCTGTCCTTGTCAGTCTGTGTTCCTGGTTCTTGTTTGGATTTTTATTTGATTTTTATCATTAAACCATTTTTGTTTGTTGCATTCCTGCATTGTGAGTCCTCCATCACTTCACCTCATGACATTTACTCATGTGTTGCCGGGCCATCATCCTCCATCCTCTTCTAGTGCAAGGTCAATCGTCGCACCTCTTCCCCTGCACAGAAAATGTCCCTTATCAATATTTGAAGACATCAGTTGTAACCCTTGGTAAACACATCCCAGGCTGAAAAAGTAAATTATCAGTGGAGCAGGCCACTCGGGAGCCACTGTCTGGATACTGTCTCCTGCCTGCCTCTCATTCTCTGTCAATTCAATCATCGAGAGGGGAACCAATAGTCTCCAGCAAAGCTCTTGTTGAGGATTTTTCAAAACTAAACAATGCCCTGGGCAGATTGTATTCTCCAGGGGACCGTGGGCCAAAGTGAGATGTGCCTCAAATCCCAATGCTGAGCGGTTAGGGGGTTTTAATATACAGCGTTATGCAGTGGAGCAGAGCCGAGTTTTTGAGGCTTTGAGATTGTTCTGGTGTAAGGTATTGTTATGAAATGAAGATATATAGGAAGAAGGTTGGTCATAAAAATGCATGAGAGGGATGTTTCCAAATGTAGTTCCATGCAGAGAGAGTGGGCAGGTATAGGAACTTGCATTATAATTCATTTTCTTGATGGCAAGGTAGTAATAGAATTAGAGAGGCATACATCCAATCCATTTACTGTATTTGTCCAGAGCTTAATTTATAAACTGAGAAATGTATTATGAAGTGCTGCAGAAGTCCAAAATCATTTCTGTCAACAGACAAACGTAATGAAGGTATTTCTTCCACACTCACTAACCACTGCATTATGTCATTTGAGCAAATCAGTTTGACTATGATGTAATTTATGAAGACAATGTTAATTGAAACTTTACTGTCTCCATAGGGTGATTAGTCCTCTGTATTTGATCCATTCTTGAATGCCACTGCAGACTAGACCCTCAGTCGAAAACCGTGGTCGTTGTAGTTTTAGTCTATAATCTCCAGATGATGATTCTCAGCTTAGTCAGGACCAAAGCTGGAGGATGTTAACGATTGTCCATGTCTTTAGTGGTTAAGGGAAACCAGAGCACCCAACGGAAACCTTTACAGGCATGGGGAGAACATGCAATCTCTGCTCAGAAAGACCCTGTTCCAACCTGGATTTGAACCCAGGACCTTCTTTCTGAGAAGCGAGAGTGCTATCCACTGCCAAGTATGCAGTTTTGAAGTAATAATAATAATAATATCTCTCCCCTGATGTAGGCCTATATTATTTTATAACTTTTACAAATCATTTGAGTGACATGATGGTTAGCATTCCTGGGTTCGATTCCTGGTCAGATTTCATGCAGTGGAGTTTGCATGTTTTCTCCCCATGCCTGCGTAGGTTTCCTCCAGGTATTTCGGTTTTCTCCACCCCTAAAAACATGTATTATGTAAATCCTCCAGCTCCGGTCCAGACCAATTTGAGCATCAACATCTGGAGATGGGTGGCGCTGTACTACAGCGACCACTGTTCCTGACGAAAGCCCTAGCGGCGTCAGGATGGGTCAAATGCAGAAGAGGAATTAATCATTTTAATTATGAATAAAGTGCATCTTTATACATAAAATAAACAGTAATACAGACAATACACGGTTTGAAAGGGGGTTATTTTGGTCCAATCCCCTCACACTCACACAAGACTCAATACAATACAATAGAAGAACAATAACATCAGTATGATACACACATTAATCCAATATCCCAAAGTGTAAAAAGTGACCTTGTTAAGACATTCTCCAGGGGGACCTCTTGAGCTTTGTTTTTAATGTGTTAGATAAATGATCATTTCACTCACAATCAAGTGAAATTTGTGAGGGAAAACCATAATCCGCATATAAAAGCTGACATTAGAATCAATATCTGCCTGCATGTTCTGTTCTTTCAAAACCCAACTATCCAAAATGGATTCTGACAGCTCACGGTTTAAAAAAATGGCACCCGAAATGTGGAAGATGCAACACATTTGAACGCTCTGACTCACTCTGAGTGGTCTCTTCACTCATGTCGTGTTGCACATTACCGCCACAGCTCTGTGAAAGCCGCTCTACAGCCACAAGCCACACACACTGCTGCTCATGTCATCTGCAAATCACAAATCGGACTTTCTGACGCGAACCGCTGCACCGGAGCAAAAAAAGTGCCACAGGGCTCTGGCCGAAGCCCGCCAACTCTTTAAAGTGCCATGTGAAACATCCAGCAGGAGGAGGAGGAGCTCAATCTGCCTGCAGGAGCTGAGCATAGACAGAGCCTCAATCTTCAATGGAATGGAAAACACGAGTGAAAAGGAAGAGAAAGCGAAAGACAACGGGCTCGTCCATCAGCCAGATAAAGGTCAGGATTTAGTGGGTGGAATTGGGCAGAGCGGTGAATTGCAGATGTGGAGAACAGCAGGGATTTTTCCGCTGTCGTGAGCAGCTAAGGAGCGCAGCTTTAAAGTACATCTGCCAGTAAACATTTTGGCCCGACTCTGGGTCATCTCTCCTGTCTGCTCGAGAACCAGCCGAGCGTGAACGTGTACCTGCTTCCGCCAACGCGCACTTTTCTCTGACCACGAACTGATTCTCCTCCTGACTATGGACCGGAAGAAAACACTTGTGTCGTATTTGCTTTTTAAAACGTGAGATTGGAGTCTGTTCGAATTTTGATTTTGTATGTACGTTTGTTGCATAAGTAGCAGAACCTGTGCTCATAGTTAATAACTTAGAATTGTGCTTTTCCCCGTATGTTCTGCACACTTGACAAAAGAAGATAGCAGTGGAGAGTTTGCACTGAGAGCCAAAGCAATTTCCTAGTGTATGACCTACTGTTACTCGCAATGGCAATAAAATAAAAAAATAAAAAATCTGATTCTGACAGCTGATTGGCTGGTGCACATCCACCCTGATTCCCATTTAGTTCGAAAAAGCTGCAAGAGATCGAACATTTTGTGCGTACCTTTGCCCCTACTGATGAGTCTGACCCTTGTGATGCTTTCAAAGGCATCTTGTAACTTATGGGGTGTAAGAAATAGGTGGGTAACCTATTGTATACACATCCAAATGCATACATTTCTAATATTGACATGGCTTTTTCCCATGTACTTAAATGCATCTGCCTTGTCTCAGTAGTATGGTTTCAAAGTTTTATGTCTTCATCCATTAAACAGGCACAAGATATACAAATACAATATACAATTATTCAAAAGAAGAACAAAACACTTATGGACATTGGTCAACTCCCCCCTATGGACCAATACCTACAGTATGTGTTCTATTTTTCTATGCATTGGCGATTTCAACGATTTTGTTAAGTCCTCTGAGATAACTATGTTGTGATTTAGGGCTATACAAGACTGCAATGAAATGAACAAAAGGTTTATATTAAAATATTCGACTCCCAGCTTTTCAGACACAAACACGATACACAATACAATACAAAGACAGTACCCTAAAACAAAGCACATTACTGCAATATGACACACGCGCACACACGCACACACACATACACAAAGGAATGAATACATGTTGTTATAACTGGACAAAGAAAGATCCTGACCACCTATACCAAACAAACTGGACTTTCACACTTCAAATCAATGTGTCCTGGTTGATATACTGTCCTCCTCTCCTCTGTGCATTCAGTCTCCACAACTTTAGTTAGTATTTGAACCACATTCTTATGTTGTCCATGTTATGTTAGACTTTTAGATTATAGCAAAACACGAGTTTTCCATCCAAGCGTTTTGCTCTCTTAAATGACTGTGTTGGTACAAATGACTCCAAATGTGCTGGAATCCCAGTGCAAAACGTCCTAATGCATGTTGCACTAAACCCTCACTAAACTATCGTAACTTATTCATAACCAAATCCACTCTTCCACTCCATACTTCCACCCAGATTTTTTACAAAACAGACGTGGCGGTGAAAAAAAGAAAGTGCTTCCCTAACACGGCAAATGAGTAAATGAAATGTCAAGCTCAAATGATATGTAATCTTCCGACGACGAGTCTCGGAGGTCCATTTGGAGAGAAATCCAAGGGAAATGGGGCAAAGGAAATCACTGTCTGAAACCGGAGCCATCAGAGCCTAAGTGCGTCTTTACCTCCTGCAAACCGCCCGAGACCACTGACCTTCTGCCATTATGGACCGGGCCAAACAAACGTCACAGACTTTTCCATCACACGGCGCATTCGAAGCAGAAAGCACTCTTCTGTCAAGGCGAGGGAGAGGGGCCGCCGCTGAAGAGGGGACAGATGTGAGACCCTCCAACAGACACCCAAGGGACCCGCGGAACATCTGGAAGGACTCGGCGATGGAGCTTGTACTGTACCTGCGCCACTGATGTAGGGATTGGATGGAAAAAAAAAAGGTGTTTTTAAGCAAAAAAAAAGGTTGGATTGTTTGGAGTGGTGGTGATAATAGTCAAAGTTTCTGTCTATTTAAAGGCTTGAATGATGCGGATGCTTTTTTAAATTAGAAATATTGATTTAAAAACATATATATTTTGATTGTTGGATATATTCATATTTTGAACTAGTCAAAAACCCACACATTACTAACAGAAATGAGATTTTTCAATTTATTTTTTAATATTTGGATTACAAAAGCCTATATGTTCAGGAAACTTATCAACGAGCTTGCAAATATATTACATCAATTACCTAGGTATATTTATTTATTTATATATTTATTTATTTAGAGGATAAGCCCCTTGAGATGAACCATCTCATTTTTAATGGGGTCCTCAAGATTTCACAAAGTGACAGATACAGCAAAACCGATGCAAACAAAACAAAAATACAAGAAAATAATAATAAAAAAAAATACATAAAAAATACACACACATAAACCCACAATCACACACACACACACACACGCTGTGACTGTACTGTAATTACGCTAAATAAGGATAATACTATTAATAATAGTAATAACAATAATTAGGAGACAATAAAGACAAGATTATGTCTCATAACCTAAGATCAAAAACATTGACATGAATTCTGGAGATATTGTAGCAAAGCAGATTTAAACAGAGGCAGAGAAGTTAGAGAGCGTATATATATAGGTATGTATTTTTTTGTGGCCTGTGTTTCAAGGTGTGTGCAAATTGGCAAACTTTAAAACATCTATAGTGCTGTCAGTAGCAGAAAATGTATTATTATATGTGCCAAAATGCCATGATTATATATTTTTTTTACTAACAGTGAGAATAATGGTTTGACTCGCAGGATAATAAAGATTACTCCAACACAGTTTTGAGTGAAAACATTTTAATATACAGTATATATATATATATATATATATATATATATATGAGGACTAGTGAGTGTGAGAGCCACTGTCCAGGACGACACATCCAAACTCCATAACTACATCATGGAGAAGGCCAAAACGGATGACGTACTCAGTGAATGTCTCAGGCAGTGGCGAGATGAGGAGGTGCTGGAGGAGAGCCCATCATGGGAGAACAAGCCCCTACACGGCATGTACCACCGGAGCATAACAGAAGTGGCTGATCTCAAGAAGTCCTACCAATGGCTAGAAAGGGCTGGCCTACAGGACAGCACAGAGGCACTCATCATGGCTGCACAGGAACAGGCCCTGAGCACCAGAGCGATAGAGGCCCAGATATACCACACCAGACAAGACCCAAGGTGTCGGTTGTGCAAAGAGGCACCTGAGACGATCCAACACATAACTGCAGGGTGCAAGATGCTGGCAGGGAAGGCCTACATGGAACGCCATAACCAAGTGGCTGGCATAGTGTACAGAAACATGAGCGTGCAAAGATCCTGTGGGACTTCCAGATACAGACCGACCGAATGGTAATGGCGAACCAACCTGACATTGTGGTGGTAGACAAAGGGCAGAGGACAGCCGTGGTGGTGGACGTGGCAATTCCAAGCGATGGTAACATCCGGAAAAAGGAACAGAGGGCCTGGAGGGTAAAGGTGACAGTAGTGCCCGTGGTGATCGGTGCACTCGGGGCAGTGACCCCGAAGCTAGATGAGTGGTTACAGCGGATCCCTGGAACAACCTCGGACATCTCGGTCCAGAAATGTGCAGTGCTAGGAACAGCAAAGATACTGCGCAGAACCCTCAAGCTCCCAGGCCCCTGGTAGAGGACCCAAGCTTAGAGAGGGATAACCGCCCGCGGAGGGCCAAAGGTGAGTGGACAATTTTTATATATATATATATAATATATATTTATGTATCATCATCTGTTAAAACACACATTCAACAAGACAAAAATGATATAATTATACAAGGAGTACACTCAGAACATGATACTCAAAAGTAGTAGGAAGAAGTTTAGAGCTCATAGAATCATACCCCTTTTGAATAATCTAATATGTATCATACAAATCTATATTTATACAACATGTTCCATTCAAGGTCAATGCCACCATTTGTGTATCATCAGATAAGCATATTTGTACAATTTCAACTTAAGAAAATCCAAATAATATCTACTATCCAAATAGACTATACTGCATTCACACATTTAATTCTGAACCAGATAGATAAATCTACATTTGGTAAAATCCAGCATGCGTTAGAATCTACTCTTAAATTGTGAATCTGCACATGGGCACCTAAATGTAACAACATATATAGCACTGAAATGGTAATTTGGGGTTCACTAATGAAACTGTAGCAGAGGATAGAGGAGGAGGCACAGGGGACAGATGCGGCTCCCACTTAGACGCCTCTGGGACCTCGCAAACATCTGGAACGAATCGTCAATAAGACACATTGTACTTGCTCTGATGAAAGATAGAAAACACCAGATTCACATTTAGACTCATGATAAAGCTGTTTATTGACGTGTTATTTGACCATTTTACAGTCACTGAACTTAATGAATGAAGCAATGGTTGATTTGGAAATATATACAGTAAATATGCAATTAATATTGAATGTAAAAGACTAATATCTTACGTTCATCCATTTACTTATTGTATCATGTATCAGAGGTTTCAGCTGATTGGAGTCAACACTGGCCCATTCAAAATAACTCAGGACTTTACAAAGTTGTCGTTTCCTCAACAACAGCGCAAATAAATTAGCAGTTACAAAAACAGGCCTTTCAATAATTTAAAAATAAGAAACACATTGGAGCACTTGGTGCATTAAGGATAAGGTACACTTTTGATTATCCCTATAGGGCAATATGTCATCTGCATTTGACCCATTGCCCCCCACTGCCTTGGGGGGCGGGATAACCACTGTCCATAAATGTCACTAAATGTCCATAAATGTCAACATGGTGATGATTCTACACTACACATATTGGCCTATATTGAATAAAACATGTCAATTTCTCCAATGTGAGATCACTAAAGTCCATCTCTTCTCAGTGCAAGAAGGGGCGCTGCCGCAGGGCCTTTATCCCCACCGCTGTCAAACTGTACAATAAGTCAGATTAA